TTATTACTTTGGACACTGAGCTGAGGAGGCTGGAGGCTGGAGCCTTTCAGGGACTCGCCAAAATCAGCCAAATGTAAGTAATTACTTACCTGCCAAAATGATATCACACCTCTGACACCTCCACACCAGGGGCGGACTGACAACTCATGGGGCCCCCGGGCAATAGGGATCATGGGGCCCCTGTGTCCTTGCTCACACTCAAAATACACCCAAAAAAGCCTATAAAAGCAACCAGGGGCATTTCATGGGGCCCCCTACTGACCCCGGGCCCTCGGGCAGTGTCCGAGTGCTCGAATGGTCAGTCCGCCCCTGCTCCACACTCAACGCCACGTGCTACCACTGACTCCAGCATGCACAGGTGCAGTGCTATAAACCTCCCAGGTGCAATGCATCCTAGGGAAACTTACTTTGTATTGCGAAAAAAAATCGTAAAAAATTTGTAAATCAGGGCATTATTTTCAATGTATAGATAAATAAAAGGAATGTGCTAATTAAGTGAATAATACAAAGTGAATATATGAATTACAAAAAATAAAAAAAATTAAAAAAAAGTATTTATGGACACTTTTTTTAAAAAAAAAAATTATTTTTTGTAATTCATATATTTATTTTGTATTATTCACTTAATTAGCGCATTCCTTTTATTTATCTGTTTAAGCAAAACATTTATTTGATTTTTTGAGTTGGGAATTTGCTGCTTTGGAGTTAGAGGGTGTGGTGCTTTTCTTAAAACACTTTGATTATTTTCAATGTATTTTTATTCGTAAACCGAAAATTATGTAAACCGAGGTACACCTGCATTCCTCAATAGCCACTGAGAACATAAATCCACTTTGTGTTCACCAAATGTCTATGCAAACCCAGATATTACAATGCATAAGCAGCAGCGACCTCATCGCTGTGCTGTACACAGCCATTGCAGAGAGCAGAGCTGTGGAAGGGGCCCATTAGGCCCAACCTACTACAGAAAACTATAGGAGGGGCGGAGACAAGACCAGTCACACTGAACAAGGAGAGAGAGCAGCAGTGAGCGGTCTTTATTACAGGAATCTCTGCAGAGAGGGAAAGTCTCACACTGGATTATTGCACAGATCTGGAAGAAATACTCAAAGCACCCCAAGATGGATGATGAATGGATTTAGATGATGATTTACATGATAAATGGATTTTTTTTTTTTTAAATATTTATTGATTTTTCACGTTTTTACAAATATCCATCGGAAAAAAAAAAACAAAACACATATAAATATCTATAACATTTCTACATTTCCCCCTCTAAAAACTATTTTCTTTCCCGGCCCTCCCCGCCCTTTCCAAAACCCCACCCCCCTCCCTCCCCCTCTGCATGCTCTCTCCCAGTCTATTCTCTCAAAGCCTGATGACTTTAGCTATCGTCCTAGTTTATACCTTTCTTTATTTCTCTTTCAATACAGATTTTTCCCATTTTTCCCATCTCATATAATATACCCCCATCCTGTCTTCCTGCATATGGTAAAGTTTTTCCATTCTACCAATCTGGTTTACTCTATTGACCCAGTCTTCCTCCTTCGGCACCTCTGTTTTCTGCCAAAACTTGGGTATCAAACCTTTTGCAGCGTTTAGGTAGTACCATACGCCTGATTCTTTGTATTTGTTTACTGATGTCTCGACATTGTGTAAGAGGCAAATCGTTGGGTCTAACCCTATGTCATTTCCAGTTATTATTTCAATCAGTTTAACTATTGTCTTCCAAAAAGCTTGAATTTTCGGACATTCCCACCATATGTGAAAAACTGTGCCCATCTCTCCACACCCTCTCCAACACATTTTTGAGTTTCTCCCCGCTCATCTTGTGCTCAACACTCGGTGTAATGTGCCATCTTGTCAAACACTTATAATTTATCTCTACCTCTCTCATACTAACATTCTCGTGTATCATACATGATGAATGGATTAAGATGGTATTTACTTATCCTGGAGTTCAGCTTTAAATTAGTAGCATTTGTTACACTCATTATTGGTGTCATTTTTGTTCTGTGGATTTTAGTAGAATTATCCTCTATTAGAACATTACAGCTAGCATATGGTTGGTTGCAGTGGCAACACAGACAGTCCACTCTCCTTCATTCCCTCCAGTAGCAGCAGACGGAGCTGGTCCAGGGCGTTGATGTCATTAGGATGACTCAGTGACAATATGAGAAGCAATTAGTACTGATTAGTTTTATAATGAGGTGAAGATCTATTCTGGCCCTCAAGAGCTCTTATGTGGAGGAGAGATGGAAGCAGTGTGTCATCGGCTGTATGAGCTGCATGGAGGGGAACATCATGTGACTGACGAATGTTCGGGGGGGGGGGGACATTGAATATAATGGTGGTCAACTCTTTTGACACAGTGGGGGACATCTGCCAGACTTAGACCCTTAGCAGCTAAAATTGTATTTTTACTTTTTGGTAAATGTTCCTGTGTAAATTATAAAATAGATACTTATTAGTCCAGCATTGTCCTCTTCCAGTCCACCATACTTCCTCTGTTCTTTGGGTCCATGCCACCATCCTGGAGTAATATCCCAGATGGGTTTGTAGGAGCCCACCGAGTGTGGGGGTCCCTTTATGCTCCCCACAAAGAGTGGTAACAGAGTAGTCAGGGCCTTCCTTTGCACTCCCAGCAGGGTTTGGCAGTGGAGTCTGCGGGGTTCTGCTTTATGGTCCCAGGAGAGAATGCTAGTGGAGTTTGCAGGAGTCCCTTACACTGCCCGCAGAGAGTACTAACAGAGTTGGCGGAGGCCCCCTTTTATACTCCCTGCACAGATTAGTAGCAGGGTTGGCAGAGGCCCCTCCATTTTCATTCATTGAATAAAATTGGAATTGATTTTCTTTTAGTTTTCATCATTGAAAACACGCAGCTGATGAAAATTATGACACATTTCGGCAGAGAGTGGTTGCAGAGTTGGTGAGGTCCCCTTTACCCTCCCAGCAGAGAGTGGTAGTAAAGTTGGTGGGGTCTCCTTTACCCTCCCAGCAGAGTGGTAGCAGAGTTTGTGGGGTCCCCTTTACACTCCAAGGAAGGAATGGTAGCAGAGTATGTGGGGTCCCCTTTATGCTCCAGGGAAGGAGTAGTAGCAGAGTTGGTGGGGTCTCATTTACGCTCCATGCAGGGAGTGGTAGCAGAGTTGGAGGGGTCCCCTTTACACTCCAGGAAGGAGTAGTAGCAGAGTTTGTGGGGTCCCATTTACGCTCCAGACAGGGAGTGGTAGCAGAGTTGGAAGGGTCCCCTTTACGCTCCAGGTAGGGAGTGGTAGCAAAGTTGGTGGGGTCCCATTTACACTCTGGGCAGAGAGTGGTAGCAGAGTTGGTAGGGTATAATGGCGGTGTATCAGCGCAATCACTGCTGAGAGCCTATAGTAGTCTAGTAATGGTGGTCCGTGTAGCACTGAGGGCAAAGCTTCTAAATAGGCTGTAGCTGTAGGCCTTCTCTCATCCGCAGAGTTGGTAGGAACCCCTTTACACTCTTGGCAGAGAGTGATAGCATAGTTGGTGGGGACCCTTTACACTCTGGGCAGGAAGTGATAGCAGAGTTGGTGGGGTCCCCTTTACGCTCTGGGCAGAGAGTAGTAGCAGAGTTGGTGGGGTCCCCTTTACAGCTACATCAATGAATGGTAGCAGAGTTGATAGGGTCCCCTTTACACTTTGAGTAGAGTGGTAGCAGAGTTTGGTGGGGTCCCCTTTACGCTCTGGGCAGAGAGTGGTAGCAGAGTTGGTGGGGACCCCTTTACACTCTGGGCAGAGACTGGTAGCAGTGTTGGTGGGGACCCCTTTATGCTCCCATCAATGAATGGTAGCAGAGTTGGTGGGGTCCCTTTTACACTCTGGGCAGAGAGTGGTAGCAGAGTTGGTGGGGACCCTGTACGCTCTGAGCAGAGAGTAGTAGCAGAGTTGGTGGGGTCCCCTTTTTGCTCCCATCAATGTATTGTAGCAGAGTTGGTGGGGTCCCCTTTACGCTCTGGGCAGAGAGTGGTAGCAGAGTTGGTGGGGTCCCCTTTACGCTCCCATCAATGAATTGTAGCAGAGTTGGTGGGGTCCCCTTTACGCTCCCATCAATGAATTGTAGCAGAGTCTGCTCTCTCTCCGCCGTCCTCTCAATAATTGGCGGCTGTGTTATTCCAAGCTGCCGGCCTGTGAAAACTTTGTGTAAGAGGAGAAGATGAAAATAAACCTGCGGCTGACGGGTTATGTTTGTCAGGCGCTAACCTGGCGGCTTGTGGGGCGATTATAGAAAACCAGAAACGTCTGACACTTTCCAGCCTCCAGCTTGGAGGAATGTGCGGAAAAAAGGCAGACGGGAAATCTATTCTACACCACCCGGTTGTACAGCGCCACCTCACTGGCAGCACTATAGGCCAACGAGGAACCCATCATGTGTCAGGGATCAATTAGAGACACGAAAGGTGTTCAGACCGGGATACTCAGTGCAGATATCTCACCAATAGAGTCCCTGGGAGATATTTAACTCTCCATCATCCACCATAAATGAAATCTCAGTTTTTGGTGGACTGATCCTTTAAGTATCACATGTGCTGATGCAGTCATTAATGAATAATAGGGGATCGCGGCCTCTCTCTGGACGGTAGGTGATGTGTATCATGTGGAATAAGTGGACACAGATGTCTCCCAACACAGGACAGGCTTTCATCCCACGTGTTGTGCGTTCAGCCCCAAACATATCGTCACCTTCAGAAGGAGCGGGGGAGGGTCAGCCAAAATCTGCGCTACGCCCACTGACATCATATCGATCAGGATTATAGTGATAATGCGATGTATAAACACATATGGAGTGCGTTATATATAGACCAGGGGTGGACTGACAACTCATGGGGCCCCCGGGCAATGGGGGATTATGGGGCCCCTGTGTCCTTGCCCAAACTCAAAAAAGCCTATGAAAAAGGTACCAGGGGCAGTGCCCGAGTTTCCAAATGGTCAGTCCGCCCCTGATATAGACTCATTGCACCGCCTTCATTATTAACCCCTCGTGGGGAACATCCGCAGCCATGGTTTACCCTTTTGCTGCCAGTGCCGTTTCTGCATTTCTTTTTATTGCACACACACTTAAAAAAACAAATCGTTTTAGACCTAAGGATTACATAAAGCCCCATTATATAGATTCTGAAGGCAGACACCCGGGAGAATAAAATGGTGGTATTTCTGATCTTCCTTCTACACAATATTAGCGCACCAGTTTATTAACTGCAAAAGTTTAGTAAAAAATACACTAAAGTTGATTGGACACACAAAGGCAATCTATGACCAAATCTCTTTGGTAATGTAGCACTACTCCCTTAGGAGTTGCTGAAGTTTTGGGTCCCCCTATAGTCCTGCACAGCCAGGCAAAATGCATTTTCCTCAGACTTGCATTCCAGAGAATTTAATTCAATTATTAGGGGAATTGAACTTGGATGGGGTTGAGGGGTGTATGGGATGCCCAAGGACCAGCAAACCGGGAACAAATTTCTGGAAATTATGTACAAGTCCAAAATAGGAAATTCTCTTCTAGGAGAGCCCTCCAGCCTCACTTGGTGTACCCCCCCCCCCAGACCCCAGATTAATACTCTTCTTTACCCAGCTGTCTGGAGGAATTCCTGGGCAAAGGGATCTGAAGATGCCACTTTAAATGTAACAGTCCCAGGTGTAGAACTAGTCAGGTTTCCCACCAGAATACTCTCTCCCTTTGTTTGGCCCAGGGGGGTAGGAATACTCAGTCCATGCCTGTCTGCTGGTTGGGTTAGTGGCTGCTTTCAGGACTACCACTGGGCTGGCTCCATGGGTGGTCCTCCCTCTGGGGACCAGTGAGGCTGAGTGATCCTCCTTTCCACGTCCTGGCCTGTAGGTAGGCCTGTTCATACCGGGCCCCCTCCTAGGCCCCTGCACCTCAGCCTTCCTCACATCTTCCACTCGAACTCTCCTCCTGCTGAGCAGGCTCAGTCATACTTAACGGCCGTCCTGGCCCCATGCCAAGCCTCCAGCCTGGGGATTGGTCAGGATCCCTTAAGTATGTAGATCAGCCTCTCTTCACCCCTTCCCACTGCTCCTAGAATCTTCTCCAAGTTTCTAGAGCAGGGGGAGGTATCAGGGGAACTGATCTTCAGAGCCTTTCAGTCCTTTGCTAAAATTTACCCTGCTGACCATTGCCCAGGCTGCTACTCATCTTCTCTAACTAAAAAAAATGTAACTAGCTCCCCCCTGGCTATCTAGAGGGGTGCTACAGTCAAATATAAAAGATGAGGTTGTGATAAGTAAGTGGATACTGGACATATTAAACCTTAAAGGATAAGTTCACCTCTGGGAACATGTGGCACCCGTTTTTAGGGTGGAACATGTAACATGTTCCCAATACTGCAGTCGCTGCCCCCCCAACAACCCCCCCCCCCCCGACAGCAGTACGGGGACACGTTTCCTCTACAAACTCTCACTTTTTGAATAGAGCTTGGCCGTGCGGAGCTCCACCCACATGGCCATGTCATTCATTCAAAGAATGCTGTGAATGAATGAACTACAAGTCCTGACAGCCTTAGTGGCTGTCATCTTGTAGCTCTCTATGAACTACCTTGGTCGCTGTGTTGCCCGTACTGACAGGTCTGCAGGAGACCGCGTTGTACCAGTGATCTGCTGATTACTGGTTCAATGGTTTACAGGCTCCTGCAACCAAAAATAATAAATGCACATTTTTTGTACCTGCAAAATATGTGCATTTATTATTTTTAGTCAAAATGTGAACTTATCCTTTAAAGTGATTCTAAAGGTTATAATAATAATAATAAGAAGAAGAAGAAGAAGAAAAAAAATAACAAAAATGTTATACTTACCTGCTCTGTGTTATGGCTTTGCACAGAGCAGCCCTGATCCTCTTTTTTTGGGTCCCCTGACGGTGGTCCTAGCTCCTCCCCCCTGCCTCTTTCTATGGGGGCACTCCAGCAGGCTCCTGTGAATGGACATTATTCATTCACACACAGAGCGCAGCTCAGCCCTGCACCCCCTCTTTCCTCATTGGCTCGCTCGCTGAGATTGACAGCAGCCTATGGCTCCTGCTGCTGTGTGAGGAGAGAGACACGGGAGAGTCACAGCTCTCATACACATGGCTGGATCGAGATCAGGCTCAGGTGAGTATAAGGGGAAGGGGGGGAGGGCTGAGGGAGCTGCACCCAGAAGATTTTTTTACCTTCATGCATTCTATAAAAACTTTCTGCCTTTAGAACCACTTTATAATTGCATGTGTCACGTACCTTGGTGTGGCTACTGACTATATCGAGTTCATCATACCAGTTACATGCCCCAGAATCAGCGCTTCTTTTAGGTCTCAACCAATGGCAGCCTTAGTGTTACCATTACAATGTATCTAAACCCAAGAACAAAATTTAATGTGTTGCAGCTTTCAATTCCTTAGTGGCTGCATTAGTGTTCTTTTTTCTCTTTTTTTTAACCTGGTGATCGTGCCAGTAACATACTTCCTGTCTTAAGGTGACAACACCCACTCACCATACCTATGGAGCAGCAGTGTTGTCACCTTAGGACATCGTTGTAGAACACCTCACCCTCTGCTCCATAGTATGAGGGTGGGGTGGAAGGTGCTCTGTAGTCCTCAGAGATACCTGGGAACAATGTAACTGATTGGGGTGCAGCCCAGGAAGATACCAGCTAATTGCGGACATGGAAATCTTGAAGTGTCAGACACTCACAACGGTTGTTTGTTACAGAGAAATGAGGAGCCTGATGAATCTGAAGTGTATAGAAGCTCAGGCATTCCAGAACCTTCCGCTTCTCAATTACTTGTAAGTATCAGTCACATTGGGTGTAATGCATCAGCTTAGCAAAAGCCCTGCCGACCCAGGAACTCAGGATGGTGGGAACTCAACATAATAGGTATAGCAAATGTGCAGACCCTGGAACTCAGCACAGGGATGGTGGGAACCTCTGATAATGAGTGCAGCAGGTGTGCAGACCTAGGAACTCAGCACAGGGATGGTGGGGACCCCTGATAATAAGCACAGCAGGTGTACAGACCTGGGAACTCAGCATAGGGATAGTGAGAACTCCCCATAATGGGCACAGCAGGTGTACAGACCTGGGAACTCAGCACAGGGATGGTAGGAACCCTTCATAATGGGCACAGCAGGTGTATAGACCTGGGAACTCAGCACAGGGATGGTGGGAACCCCTGATAATGGGCACAGCAGGTGTACAGATCCGGGAACTCAGCACAGGGATGGTAGGAACCCCTCATAATGGGCACAGCAGGTGTATAGACCTGGGAACTCAGCACAGGGATGGTGGGAACCCCTGATAATGGGCACAGCAGGTGTACAGACCTGGGAACTTAGCACAGGGATGGTAGGAACCCCTCATAATGGTTACAGCAGGTGTATAGACCTGGGAACTCAGAACAGGGATGGTGGGGAACCCCTGATAATGGGCACACAGACCTGGGAACTCAGCACAGGGATAGTGAGAAGTCCCCATAATGGGCACAGCAGGTGTACAGACCTGGGAACTCAGCACAGGGATGGTAGGAACCCCTCATAATGGGTACAGCAGGTGTATAGACCTGGGAACTCAGAACAAGGATGGTGGGAACCCCTGATAATGGGCACAGCAGGTGTACAGACCTGGGAACTCAGCACAGGGATGGTAGGAACCCCTGATAATGGGCACAGCAGGTGTACAGACCTGGGAACTTAGCACAGGGATGGTAGGAACCCCTCATAATGGGTACAGCAGGTGTATAAACCTGGGAATTCAGCACAGTGATGGTGAGAACCGCTCATAATAGGTGCAGCAAGTGTGCAGACCTGGGAACTCAGACCAGGGATGGTGGGAGCATTGCACAATTGGCACAGCAGGTGTATAGACCCAGGAGCTCAGCACAGGGATGGCGGGAACCCCTCATAATGGGCATAGCAGGTGTACAGACACAGGAGTACAAAGCATGTACAGTGATGAAACTGAAGGGGGGGGGGGGGGGGGGAGGGGGGTCCGTCCTTCACTCCATATTCTCTCTTTCTACAATTTATATTCACTTCAAGTAACCTTTATTAGCAGGAGCAAATCCATTTTAGCATTGCCAAGGCGCCCTCCCTCTCCCACCCGACTCCACTCCCAATCTCTTTCCCCTGACCTTTAGGTCGGGTCTTCTGATTGCCTGTTATGTCATTTGACCTTTTTCCCTTCTAATTTCAGAGTCATTTTGAACACCGGACTCTCTGACGTCCCAGATTTTTCTGCAGTTCATTCCTTGTCCATCACCATGTTTGTGTGAGTATGGCCGGCCTCACCTTTTATACGTATACATAAAAATCAGTCGGATGGAAGAGGCTCCCTTGGGTCTTGTATTGAAGCAACAAAAACATCTTTTTTGTTTGCCCTTTCAGCTCGGGTTTACATATATGCGGTGCGGTATATCGCATGTGATCTGCACAGGAACTGCACCGAATGTTAAAATTACTTTTTTATATGCTAAAAAAATCTGAAGAATATATTTAAAATTTTTTTATTGTTAAACATATTTTTAATATATATTGTAATATATAAAAAATGCATTTCAACATGCAGTGTAGGTGTATATATATATAAACCTACTGAATGTGGAAATGTGTTTTTTATGTTACAAAATATTTGAAAAATGTTAAATATTAAAAATGTATATTTTTTAAACATATTCTTCAGATTTTTTTTTTTAGATTTTTACATATATTTGTAAATGCATTCCAAAAATGTAGATTAATAAATACATACAGTATATTTGAAAATGTATTTTAAAGAATATTTTTCATATATTTTGTAATAAAAACTTAATTCTCAACATACAGTGTGTGTATATTCTGTATATATATATATATATATATATATATATATATATATATATATATACATACAGTGGGGATCGAAAGTTTGGGCTCCCCAGCTAAAAATTTGTATTAATGTGCATAAAGAAGCCAAGGAAAGATGGAAAAATCTCCAAAAGGCATCAAATTACAGATTAGACATTCTTATAATATGTCAACAAAAGTTAGATTTTATTTCCATCATTTACACTTTCAAGATAACAGAAAACAAAAAAATGGCATCTGCAAAAGTTTGGGCACCCTGCAGAGTTAATATCTTGCACTGCCCCCTTTGGCAAGTATCACAGCTTGTAAATGCTTTTTGTAGCCAGCCAAGAGTCTTTCAATTCTTGTTTGAGGTATCTTTGCCCATTCTTCCTTACAAAAGTCTTCCAGTTCTTTGAGATTTCTGGCCTGTCTGTCACGCTCTGCTCTTTTAAGGTCTATCCATAGATTTTCAATTATGTTGAGATCAGGAGATTGTGAAGGCCATGGCAAAACCTTCAGTTTACGCCTCTTGATGTAATCCCCCGTGGATTTCGAGGTGTGTTTAGGATCATTATCCATTTGTAGAAGCCATCCTCTCTTTAACTTCAGCTTTTTCACAGATGTATATATATATATATATATATATAATATATATTTTTAAATATATTGAATATGGCCAAAATTGTAGTATTTCAAATATATGTCAATATATTTGGGAAGAATATTTAAAAAATATATTTCAAATATATTTTTTCTTCCATGTGGGTCAGCAGCCTTTTTCAACCCTTTTCCCCAAGAGGAGCCTCTAAAATAAATGTCTGGTATCAGGGAACATGTGCTGAAAGTATTTTATCGGGGCTCATTTGGAAAAATGCTCCTTACATTGGTGGTCAGAATACAACTGTTACAGATAAAAAGATATTTGGTGTCATGCTGTTGGCTCATTGGTCCCAAAACTATGCAGACATCATCAGAAGGTAGGTTGATCAATCACAGCTCAAAGAACCTTTACCCACCTCTGGAGGAACCCTGTCTGGGAACGGCTGGTGTAGACTCTACATAAGCCTCTGCTGACTGTATACATAATTTTACACATTGATATACATCGTAATACTAGAACATTGAGATACGTTGTATTACTGTATTTCTTCATAGTAAATTACTCTAACCTTTAAGTCAAGTTACTTCTCTATATATGGATTTTTTTCCAGTGTGGGGTTGAACTGATCTCTCATTTGTTTACAGGGAGATTGCAGACAATCCCAATATGGCGTCCATTCCAGCCAACGCATTCCAGGGGCTGGGCAATGGTTTCCTGACCTTGTAAGTATCACCAAGAGGGCTACAGCTGTTGGTGGCTGAAGATTTCAGCCCGCAGGGAAAATCTGTGGGACACCTCGGGGGATCTACTAAAACTGGAGCACTCAGAATCTGGTGCAGCTGTGCATGGTAACCAACCAGCTTCTAGGTTTTTTTTTTGTCAAAGCTTAAAGTAACCTTAAAGGTTATTTTTTTTTTTAAATAACAAACACGTCATACTTACCTGCTCTGTGTAATGGTTTTGCAGAGAGCAGCCCTGATCCTCCTATTCTCGGTCCTCTGCCAGGGCTCCAGGCCCCTCGCTCCTGCATAGTGCACCTATAGCAAACAGCATGCTATGGGGGCACCCAAGCAGGCTTGCCCCCGAGCCACTGCCATGTGTGTTCATTCACACATAGAACGCGACTTGGCCACCACTCTTTCCTTTTGGCTCACTGCCTGTGATTGACAGTAGCGGTAGCCAATGGTTACACTGCTGTCTCAGCCAATGAGGAGGGAGAGACCTGGGAGAGCTGAGGCTCTCATGCACATCGCTGGATAAGGTAAGTATTAGTAGAGCTGGGGGAGCTGCTGCACGCTAAAACCTTGAGCCGTTACAACCACTTTAATTGAACAAGCTAAAGTTAGAAGCTGATTGGTTGCTATGCAGAGCTGCACCAGATTCTGAGTGCTCCCGTTTTAGTAAATCTTTCCGTTGATTTTTATGAGATCAGGCCCTGAAGCCAGTGGGCAGTGACAAGAATGTTCCTTACATTGGTGGTCAGTAGGAAGAATGTTCCTTACATTGGGGGGGTCAGTGGGAAGAACATTCTTTACAGTAGTGCTCAGTGGGAAGGATGTTCCTTGCATTGGTGGTCAGTGGGAAAAATGTTCCTTACATTGGTGGTCATTGGGTATAATCCCTTTACACTGGTGGTCAGAAGAACATTGCTTACATTGGTGGCCATTGAGAAGAATCCCCTTACATTGATGACAAATAGGAAGAATGTTCCTTACATTGGTGGTCAATGGGAAGAATCTCCTTACATTGGTGGCCAGTGGGAAAAATGTTCCTTACAGTGGTGGCCAGTGGGAAGAATGTTCCTTACATTGGTGGTAAGTGGGAAGAATGTCCCTTACATTGGTGGTCAATGGGAAGAATCCCCTTACATTGGTGGCCAGTGAGAAGAATGTTCTTTACAGTGGTGGTCAGTAGGAAGAATGTTCCTTACAGCAGTGGCCAGTGGGAAGAATGTTCCTTACAGTGGTGGTAAGTGAGAAGAGTGCTCCTTACATTGGTGGTCAATGGGAAGAATCCCCTTACATTGGTGATATATAGGAAGAATGTTCCTTACACTGGTGGTAAGTGGGAAGAGTGTCCCTAACATTGGTGTCAGTGGGAAGAATGCCCCTTACATTGGTGGTCAATGGAAAGAATGTTCCTTACACTGGTGGTAAGTGGGAAGAGTGCTCCTTACATTGGTGGTCAATGGGAAGAATCCCCTTACATTGGTGATAAATAGGAAAAATGCCCCTTACATTGCTGGTCAGTTGGAAGAATCCCCTTACATTGGTGATAAATAGGAAGAATGTTCCTTCCACTGGTGGTAAGTGGGAAGAATGCCCCTTACATTGGTGGTCAATGGAAAGAATGTTCCTTCCACTGGTGGGAAGTGGGAAGAATGCCCCTTACATTGGTGGTCAATGGAAAGTATGTTCCTTCCACTGGTGGTAAGTGGGAAGAATCCCCTTACATTGGTGATAAATAGGAAAAATTCCCCTTACATTGTTGGTCAGTGGGAAGAATACTGCTTACATTGGTGGACAGTGGAAAATGTTCTGATATTGGGTACAAAGACCTCAAGGAAGGCTGGCAGAAGGGGCAACCCATACTGACATTTTGCCCAGGGCACCATGCATAGTGGTGACGGCCGCAATCCTAATGTACAAAATATAGGAATGATTAAATCTTTCTTCTATTTCAGAAAACTCTACAACAACGGATTCACCGAATTGAAGAAATTTGCGTTCAATGGCACCAACCTAACAACTGTGTAAGTACAACCATCACACTCACATGATGGGACGACCAGAGGGGGCTCAATAACAGCCATCAGTGCGACAGATATGAGGATTGTAAGCAGCACTCATTGCAGATCTGTTATACAATCTGGTGCCAGTCGTTCCCTTCTCCATGGAGAAAAGGGAGGAACCCCTTTATCATGTGTTTTCCACCATGGCCAGGCAGTGCAGTTGGACATTTTCAACAAATTTACTGCCCCCTGTCTGTCTTAGTTAAAAACTTTCTACTCATTTTTTTCATGCTAAAAAAATTTACTGCAAGTCCAGAAGATACCAGTTGATCCTGCCAGAAATCTAGTGTCCTGGTCACTTCCTATGAGCTGAACTGAAATCTCAAAGTTGTCAGCCTTCCCAGCTATCTACTGTGAAATACTATACAACAATTCCCATCTATGTAAGGGAGATGAGGGGGGGGGGGAAGTGTTTGTAGTCCAAGTCAGGAGAGCAACCTGGTGTGACAACGCCGCTCCTCTATAGATACGATACAGTGAGCGCTGTCACCCTAGGACAGGAAGTGTGTTACTAGCAGGATCACTGGGCAAAAATAATGGAAGGAAGGTGTGCAAAATTAAAATGATTGCAGCCACGACATCTAAGGACTATGCAATATACGTTTTTTGTGGGTCTGCTTATATATCAGCCTTCCCTGGTTCTCTCTCCCCACTCATCAACATGACGTTTTTAAATAAAACCTTAACATTTTCATCATCACAGGGTCTCTATGCTTCTCCATGCAATGCAGGCTGATCATGTCTGATGGGAGGGCCAACAGGGTGCTGTACATAGCTTTCTGAAAACATCACAGCACCCATGCTCAGTATTCTGTCTAAGATTCCTCAGCCCTGATGCAAGCAGTGGGCCGGCTCTTGGGAGGAGATATGCAAATATCAAAATACCTTGCTGGGTGGGTGTCAGTCTGGAGAAGTAGCAATTCCAGGCAGGCTGCATTTGGATAGAGACCACCCTAGGTAATGCCCACATGTGATGTTGGGCCTCCATGATTGAATGAACTGAAATCCAATGAATGAAAGGGGAGGGCCAGGAATGTCAAGCTGGGGAGGAAAGTGCTAGATGATACTGGATGTTGTTCACAGGGCTGCTGTTAGAAACCATGGGGCCCCATACAGCCAACCTGACAGGGCCCCCAAAGAAAACAATCGGCACTGATCACTCATTGTGCTAATTCAGGAAAGGAAGGGGCTGGTAAATGTGGGGAGGGAAGCTGGCAGCACTGTGGCGGTGGGGGCACACATGGGGGCCTGGGCAGCAGGGGGAAATGCATGGTGCACAGGGAGGGTGATTGGTGTGGTGGGGGGGGGGCAATTACTGGAAACGATCCCCTGTACGGCTCTCTTCTGCAGCAGCTGAAAGCCAGCAGGAGGAAGAGGAGAAAAAGCCAGCTCTCATCTTCTGCAAAGAAAGCCATACAGGGGATCGGTTCCAGTAATTCCCCCCCACCGGCACGATCACCCTCCCTGCCAACATCCATTCACCCAGTTGCCTGGGCCCCCCTGCTGACTTGGGACCCGTACAGGAGGACTGGTCCCCCCAGCCCACAAGTGAAGCAGGCTCAATCTGACTTACTTCAGCTTCTAATGCACATTGTGAGAAGCTCACAGTGTGCAGTGAAATCAGAGGAAGCCATTTCAGTCCAGGAGAGGAGCCGGTACAACTGTGCAAGACTGAAGGGTAGGGTGAAGCTCAGATGTACAGTATCTCCCAGAAGTAAGTCCACCCCTCACATTTTTGTAAGTATTTGATTCTATCTTTTCATGTGACAACACTGAAGAAATGACACTTTGCTACAATGTGACGTAGTCAGTGTACAGCTTGTATAACATGTAAATTTGCTGTCCCCTCAAAATAACTCAACACACCACCATTAATGTCTAAACCGCTGGAAACAAAAGTGAGTCCACCCCTAAGTGACAAGGTCCAAATTGGGCCCAATTAGCCATTTTCCCTCCCCGGTGTCATGTGACTCTTTAGTGTTACAAGGTCTCTCATACTGGTCACTGGAAGTTCAACATGGCACCTCATGGCAAAGAACTCTCTGAGGAACTGAAAATAAGAATTGTAGCTCTACATAAGGATGGCCTAGGCTATGAGAAGATTACCAAGACCCTGAAACTGAGCTGCAGCACGGTGGCCAAGACCATACAGCGGCTTTTACAGGACAGGTCCACTCAGAACAGGCCTCGCCATGGTCAACCAAAGAAGTTGAGTGCACGTGCTCATATCCAGAGGTTGTCTTTGGGAAACAGACGTATGAGTGCTGCCAGCATTGCTGCAGAGGGTGAAGGGGTGGGGGGGTCAGCCTGTCAGTGCTCAGACCATACACCACACACTGCATCAAATTGGTCTGCATGGCCGTCGTCCCAGAAGGAAGCCTCTTCTAAAGATGATGCACAAGAAAGCCGCAAACAGTTTGCTGAAGACAAGCAGACTAAGGACATGGATTACTGGAACCATGTCCTGTGGTCTGATGACACCAAGATAAACTGAATTGGTTCAGATGGTGTCAAGTGTGTGTGATGGCAACCAGGTGAGGAGTACAAAGACAAGTGTGTCTTGCATACAGTCAAGCATGTTGGTGCGAGTGTCATGGTCTGGGGCTTCATGAGTGCTGCCGGCACTGGGGAGCTACAGTTCATTGAGTGAACCATGAATGCCAACATGTACTGTGACCTATTGAAGCAGAGCATGATCCCCTCCCTTCAGGGACTGGGCCGCAGGGCAGTATTCCAACATGAGAACGACCCCAAACACACCTCCAAAATGACCACTGCCTTGCTAAAGAAGCTGAGGGTGAAGGTGATGGACTGGCCAAGCATGTCTCCTGACCTAAATCCTATTGAGCATCTGTGGGGCATCCTCAAATGGAAGGTGGAGGAGCGCAAGGTCTCTGACATCCACCAGCTGATGTCGTCATGGATGAGTGGAAGAGGACTGCAGTGGCAACCTGTGAAGCTCTGGTGAACTCCATGCCCAAGAAGGTTAAGGCAGAGCTGGAAAATAATGGTGGCCACACAAAATATTGACACTTTGGGCCCAATTTGGACCTTGTCACTTAGGGGTGGACTCACTTTTGTTGCCAGCGGTTTAGACATTAATGGCTGTGTGTTGAGTTATTTTGAGGGCAAATTTACAAGTTATACAAGCTGTACACTCACTACCAGGGGCGGACTGACCATTCGAGCACTCGGGCACTGCCCAAGGGCCCGGGGTCAGTAGGGGGCCCCATGAGATGCCCCTGGTACCATTCATTGGCTGTTTCATAGGCTTTTTTTGGGTGTGGGCGAGGACACAGGGGCCCCATGATCCCCTATTGCCCGGGGGCCCCATGAGTTGTCAGTCCGCTCCTGCTCACTACGTCACATTGTTGTAAAGTATCATTTCTTCAGTGTTGTCACATGAAAAGATCAAATCAAATATTTACAAAAATGTGAGGGGGGGGCTCACTTCTGTGAGATATGGTATTTCTGTCTTTGGATGATGTGGTCTGATCAGAACATCCAGCACAACCGCCTCGAAATGTCAAGAACGACAAAACTTATACGGCTCTGTGAAGGAAACCTTGGCGGGCAGAACGCGGTAAATGTGGTTGGGTCGGTTGACATTTCTGCACAATTCACATGAGACGGTTGCCAGGATTTCCCGCGATTTATTGTGTGAAAATGAAAAAAGGCAATAAAACCGAAAACTCCAATAAGTGGAGAAGCCTGGGAGTTCCCTCCATCCCACACCTCTAATATGGAGGGGATTAGACTTCTCTGTTATATAACTGCTGAGCTAAACAGACCGGCCTGACACTAAATGCCAGATCCAGCCTTCCCTTCAGTCTTGTACAGTTGTACCTGTTTAGCACAGGTTGCCAGTCCTGACATTTTTGTGCCCCCCTCCCCCACACATACACCTGCTAAAGTACCCAAGGCAGCCTCCTCTTCTGCCTACCGCTCGGCCCAACCATGAAGGCAACCTGCCAACATCTCCTTGCCAAGTGTTGGTGGAAGGTTGCTTTGCATTAGGGATTAAAAAAATTGAAAGATTAAATTTTCTCAAAATGTAAGTAAAAATGTTTTTTCTTCAGCTGAAATTTCACCATTTTACTATCAATTGGAAAGGACAAAAATGTTTGGTTGGTTTTTAACCTCCCTGGAGGTATTCCCGAGTGTAGCTCGGGGTAAAGTTTCAGCACCTCAAGCAGTAACCCCCCCGAGCTACACTCGGGAATACACTGCAGCGTTGCTCCGGGATCTCTTCTTCTCTTACCTTGTCCTGCGCTCCCGCAATGTCCCCCCCTGCAGTGTCCCCTGTAATGTCCTCCGCTGATGCCGGCATCTGTCTTCTGAGTTCCGTTTCCTGCGACGTCGGGATGTACGGGGGACGGAACTGGTGGGAAATTTGAAAATTGTAAAAGTGACATTCACTAAATACACTAAAATCACATAGTATAACATTACTGTATCAAACCATTTCACATACATTTTGTCCCGAGTGCTTTGTCCGGCGCCCTGCCTGCATTTTTACTGTTCTTTCTGCCTGGAAACTTAGAAAAGTCCATGGCGTCCAAAAAGCGTCCCTTTAGGTCACAAGCGGTTTTAGACCAGCTAGAGAACAGCGATAGTAAATCAGAACCACTTGCAGAATTGAGTGATAATGATTCGTGGGGAAATTCCTCCTCAGACACTGAAAACGATTCTGCGACTTTGCTCAGTGATGTGCGAACTTGGCGCTATATTTCAAATTTCAGTGTTTTTGGTTTGATTATATTATTGCTTCTAGGAGCAGAAAAAAATGCTAGTGACAGCTTCTAGGAGCTTAAAAAAAACACTAGTGTGCATGGATCCTCAGGCAGCTGTACAGATAATCAAACACACACACACAAAAAGGGGTGGTAAAACCCAGGGTTGAGCTGCATTTTTACCACCCTTAACCTCTCTCCCTCCCTCTCTCTCTCCCCTCCCTCTCC